ATTTTTTGCTATTTAAGCTTCTTATCTCAATATATTATGAAATATTGGCATAGGTCTCCCAAATGAAATTTCAAAAAAAAATGTTTATCTTCCATTCCAAAAAAATAAATGAAATGGTCCTTCGTTTCCATTTTTCCAAACAAACAAAAATTTCGCACTTAACACAAGAACTCAGGGCGGCCCCTATCGTTAAAAACGTTGCGTATATTTGCTGTCTGGTTCCTTGAAATGCATAAGGAAAATGATTCGGAATTCCATTCGGAAAATTATCCTGACTCATGATGGGCCTGTCAAGAAGGAAATTGAACGCATCTATGGCTAGGAAATCTCCACCAGTTTTATTAAGAAACCTGTCTTTATCCTCACAGGTGCGGTTTGTGGTACGGAGTGGTATTAGACCTAATTTTTCGAAAATTAGATCACTTTTTTAGAAAGTTATATGTTGCCGATCTGGACAAGGTTTATTTTCAATAAGAGAGAGAGAGAGAGAGAGCTACGTGGAACACAAGCAAAGAACCCCTTGCCTTTTTATGGGACAAGTCTCTGGACCGTTGAGTTATCTTTCAAAGAGGTTATCATAATTGCTCTCCGATGTTTCGGGATTTGATTCCTTGCATTTTTTGACTTTGAGGCCACAGAGAAGGTTTAACAGCCCAGAATCAAATCAAAACCTCAAAAATATTCAAAAGGAACACAAGCAAAGAACCCCTTGCCTCTTTGTGTGACAAGTCTCTGGACCGTTGAGTTATCTTTCTATGAGGTGATCATAATTGCTCTCCGGATTTGACACCTTGATTTTTTTTTTACTTTGGGGCCACAGAGAAGTTCAACAGCCCAGAATCGATTCTAAACCTCAAAATTTTAATTCAAATGGCTATCAAGGAAATAGAGCAAACACTTTTACAATTTGATTAGGCAAGATTTCATGAAGAGACTTTGGTCCTATTTATCATGAAATCATTATTTTATTTATTTTTAATAAAATTTATTTTTTATTTTAATTTTTGATGTAATTTATTTTTTTATTTTTAATGAAATTTATTCTTTAATTTAATTTTTGATGTAATTTATTTTTTTAGTTTTTTTTTTCAGCTTGGCTTTTTCGCCTTTTTATTTATTTTTTTTATATCTGTATTTTTTAAGTGTAATTTAATTTTTATTTAAATTTTTTATTTTGTAATTTATTTTTTATAATTTATTTTTGTATATTATTTCATTTTAATTAATTTTTATTTTATTTTTTAATTTATATTTTTTGTTTAATTTTTTTAAGTAATTTATTCTCTATTTTAATTTTTTATTAATATTAACATATTTTTTTATTTTTCTGTTTTAATTTTTAATGCAATTTATTTATTTAATTTTTTATATTTATTTTTATTTGTTTAGTTTAGTTTTTATTTATGTTTCTTCTTTAATTTATTTTTTAACTTTCTATTCTTGTTTAAATTTTCATTTCAAATTTATTTATTTTTTTTAAATTAATTTTTGTATTTATTTATTTTAATTTGTCATATGTTTTTATTTATTTTTAATTTTTGTTCATTTTTTATGTATTTTTTTAGTTTTTCAATTTATTTAGTTTTTAATTTTATATTATTTTTTAATTTATTTTTTTATTTTTTAATGTAATTAATTTTTAATAAATATTTATACAATTTTTTTATTTCAATTTTTTAATGCAATTTATTTATTTAATTTTATTTTTAAATTTATTTTATTTATTTTTCTTTTTTAACTTATTTTGTACCTTTATATTTTAATTTTCATTTCAAATTTATTTTTTATAATTAATTTTTTTATTTGTTTATAATACGTTATTTTATGTTTTAATTTATTGTTTTTTATTCTTTTTTTATGCAATTAATTTTTTAGGATTTCAATTTATTTCGTTTTTTTATATTATTTTATAATTAATTTTTATTTTATTTTTTAATTAATTTTTATTTTATTTTTTAATTTAATTTAAATTACTTTTTTTTAATTTTTTAACTCCAGTTTTTATTTTTTTTTAATTTTTAATTTTTTCATTTTAACTTTGTTTAATAACTTATAAATATTTTTGTATTTATTTTAATTAATTTTTATTTCATTTTTTAATTTTATTTTTTTATTCCTTATTATTTATTAATTAATTTTTAATATAATATTACCTTTTTGTTTATTTTTTCATATTTGTTAATTTTTTTAATTTATTTTTTTTCCAATTAGTTATATTTTATTTTTTAACTTGGTTTTTTGTAGATTTTTATAGTTCACTTTATTTTTTTTTAATTTCTTGTTTTTATTTTATTTTGTTTTTAAATTTTTTTATTTTTAAAATTTAGTCAATTTTATTATTATTATTATTTTTTTTAATTTTTACTATTTTAGTTATATTTTTATATTATTTATTTTGGTTTTTCTTAACTTTTTTCGTTTTATTAATTTTTTACATTGGCCCCTCCAACTTACTTTCTTTGACATACCCCACTGACCCCTGCATTTAAACATGGCTTAACTTTTACTTATCTCGGTGCTTATCTAGTTGAAAAAATAGTTTTTTATCTCTCTTCACCTTTTATCATCAATCACAAAACAAAAACATTTATTTAGGTATCTTCTTTTTGTCTCAACTAAAAAACAGAGATTAACAACAATCTGTCACATCTGTCGTTTTTTACGATAATTTTTTTCTTTTTCCAAAAGGTTATGACAATAGTTAAACTGTCACCTAAATAAACTAAACATGTGACATTTGTTGTTGTTGTTTTTCTTTTTTGGAAATATAAAAAATTGTTAATGTCTCTTCTTTTTTACATTTTGTCCATTGGATATTTGTTTAATAACCCCCCGCTTAAATGTCTCTATGTCACCTGAGATAACTTTATTTGAAAAGGTATTCATTCGTTTTCATGTCACTTCATGATGGGCTTGTTTACGTTTTAGTGTTGCTTCTTTTGGGAATGTGTATAAATTAAGTATCCCTCAAGGCTCTTTGTTTTGTTTTGTTTTTTTTTTTATCCAAAAGAAAATAAAGAATGAAATGTGGTTATTTAGTAGCCGCTCTTTTTTATTTTTGGTGGTTATGTTTCTTATTATTCCTTCTTCTGATTTTCTTTTAATACCTTATTCTTCTTTTTATTCCTTCTTCATCTTCTGCTTTTCATTTAATCCCCCCAAACCATTCAATTTGTTTTCATTAATTACAGGGCACTACTCAGTTAAATGTGAACGGTTCAATTTGAAAGGTTCTTAAGTTGTGCTCCCCTTCCCTCTCTCTCTCACACACATATGCACTCTCTTGGTCACTCATCCCCAATAACTTTCAAAGATATATTTTTGGCCTTTGATCATATGTTATCCACATATTTCTTGTTCTCCATGTTGTGTTTCTTTATCATTCTTTACAGATACATTATCCAATGGCCGACCGGCCAGCAGCATCATGACCATCAATAACCATGAAAAGAACAAGAAAAACAACAACAAATCTTCTTAATATATGGCAAACAAGAACAACACAAGCAGCCGCACATCATCGAAATGATTGATTACCAAAACTGTAACACAACATTCAAACGAAGAAGAAGAACGAACATCAAGAATGTGGTGTTGTTTATCTTGCCACGGCATGACTAAAAGCAAATATGTTCATAGCCGTTTGTTGTTATTGTTATTAGTTTTAGTTCTGTTACGTTTACTTCGTTATTTACGTAGTATTTTTGTCGAAAGATTTTTGTCAAGATTAACCAGGTTTTCTTCGTTGTTTGGTTCTTTGTTTATTTTTGTTAGACACACAGAGAACGAGATGGAGAGAGAGGCAGCACACGAACTCCATTCAATCATGCACAGGTACAAAACAATTTGAACTCACACACACACTGTGAGAGAGCAAAGGTTATGACGTGTCTGCGGCATTCGTTTTCCTTCGTTTTGTATTAATTAAGGAGTGTATTATGTGTGTGCATGCATAGAGAGAGAGAGAGAGAGATGGAGCAAAGGGGAGAGATAGAATGTGTGTGTGAATTGTTTGTGTTAAATCAGTGAGACTAAAAAATAATAACTGGGCAAGGTAATGCAGGAGATAACACGGTTCTAGGTGAAATAACAACAAATAATGAAGCGTAATAGAAGATCTTTTTGTTAGGGTGGCCAAATGGGAGGATTTTGAGAGAATATAAATTAAAAATAGTAATATTAATAATATATTATTAATATTAATAATTAAGAAGAATAATATATGCGTAAAAGCCAAGGAGAGAATGCTAATTTCTATTTATTGTTATAAAATAGAGGGATTATGATTAATGGCTGGGTGGAGGGAATTAAACAAAACAAAAACTGAATAGAAGAAACCTCTCAATGATGAGAGGAGCCCCAATGAGAGTGAATTAAATTTTTTGAAATTAAAATAATTCTCTAAAATCTAGAGAGAAAAATATCTGCCTGTTGAGAATAATTTCTTCTAAAAAAATATTCAGTCCCTTGAGGGTGGCTTTTTCTATAAAATAAAATGGCCCAGCCATAAGAGGCGAGTGTTTTCTATAGAAAAAAAAAAATAGAACAGCCTTCCGAGGCATTTTTTCCTATAGACAGCGAATTTTGCTCAGTCATTTGGTGGGAGTTTTCTTTATATTTTTTCGTTTATAATGGCAATCGCCTATTTCGAATGTCAGATTTTAAGTGATTTGAATTGTATTAAATTTCAATATTCGATTTCCTAATATTTTTCAGACATCTAAAATCCAGATACAGGCCTTCATAGGTCCTCTTTTCAGGCCTCCATCTGTTTTTGTGTAAATTGTTTTTAGTTTTCACTCATTTTTTCGTTTATAATGACAATCGCCTATTTCGATCAATTTCGAATGTCCGATTATAAGAGATTTGAATTGTATTCAATTTCAAAACTATTTTTTTTTCGATTTTTCAGATTTCTAACATCGAGATCAAGTCCTTGTAAGGACGTCTTTTCAGGCCTCCATCTATTTCTTTTCTAAATAGTTTTTCTTTTCTCTTACCTGAATGATGTCCTGCATCATCATCTTCATCCTCATCATCACCTTCAGCTCCCGTTCCGCCAACTGTCACTCCTGCCGCTGAGTTGCCACCTGGACTACGCTGTTGTTCCTTATCCGAACATGGACTGCTACCAATACTACTATCAATATGCCTCAATGTTTCACCACCAGCCGATGACAAAGTGCTATTTTCCTGTACCAAAGTCTCGGTACCCGAACAATTCCCCTCCGCTGGTGCCAAATCAACATCCAAAATTTTAAAACGTTCCCTTATCAATTCCGGACAATTTTCCGCCCGGAAATATGTATCCAATTCATCCAAGGCCAGAGGGCAGACATCATATTGCAAATAGAAATCTTTTCCCCAGCTGCCGGAACAAAAGTTGCCAGCATTATTTCCGGCACCGGTTTGCATTTGTGTCTGGTGCTGAGAGGCAATGGATTTTAGGAGCGAATTACTGCGTGAGAGTTTTGTGGAATGGGCCCTCCTTATGAAGGATAAAGACTTCTTGGCCGGTGAGGTTATTTGATGGGGATGGGGTGGATAATTTTTGGCGTTGTTGTTATTGGAGGAGGAGGAATTTGTATTATTCGGTGGTGAGGTCAATGAACTGTCTGCCGATGAAGACATGGACGTGCTGTTGTTACTCAATTTTGGTGTAGATTTTAGCAGGAAGAGATTCTTTGGTGGAAAGGCTGAGGTTAATATGGTGTTGCCAGACTTAACATTTTTTGTGGAGCCGGGATCACGATTCAAATTACATGCCTGGGAGCCACCAAATTTGCGATTTAACGAAGTTCCCGTGGTATCCGTAGGGGATTTTTTCGAATTTTTATTAGCTGCTGAATTTTTGGGCGAAGACGACGACGATGTGGCGGCCTTATCCAATGCCTCTCCCTGCTGTAAAACAACTGAGGGCGATAAATTTTGCGGCAATGTTTTTGCTTTGACTCGCAAAATATTTGGAGAGGGTGTCGTTGTTGTGTTCATCGTGGTGGTGGTGGTGTTAACAGTTATTTTCGTTGTTGTTGTGTTTGCTCCCTGTTGTTTACTATTCGTTGTTGTTGTATTGGAAGCTTTTATTTTGGCGACATTGATTAGATTTTGCTCAGAGCTTTGCTGTGTACTACTTGAGGCTGGCGGCACAGACAAGATGTTCGTGCGAGAGCGTGACTTCATCATTTTAATCGGAGTCGAGGTGTTCGTCTGCATGCGACTTATTTCTGAATCATCATCGTCGTCGTACTCATTGCAATTGTTGTGAGACGAAGAATTTGCAGAGAGTGGGGTGGTTGGGTGGTTGCTATTGTTGTTATCATTCGATGTCGCTGCCTTTGCACTGCTGGCGGCGCTGCTGCCGCTGTTACTGTGTGTGTTGGAGGAGGTTTGTTTTGTTTTGCTCGAAACAGCATGCATTGTATTGTTTTGTTTGGACAATGACGACAGTGATGACGTTGATTTGCCGCCAGGGGTGGCCAAACTACCACCCTCATTGGAAATAACACCACCACCATCACTGTAACGAGACCGGGGAGCCGGTGAGGGCCATTTACCACCCCCATTCGTGGAGGATGTGGTGGATTTATATGAACTTGTGGATTTCCGGGCCTCGCTAACATGATCCCCCATATTACTGTTGAGAGAGTTCCTCGGCGAGCTGCCATCATCAGGAGAATTCAAAACCACACCATATCTCTTTGTTCTGGCCGTGGTTTGGGTCTGTGGCCTAGGCTTTGCCAAGGGTGTGGAATGATTTGCTGTGGAAATTATGGACTTGGTGGAACTACTGGAACTCAAGCGATGTGTTGAGGCTGTGCCAGTGGTTTTAGTGGAACTCAAGGTCGAAGATTTGCTGTTCCTTTTATTGGCGGAACTCAAAGAAGAAACAGAGGCCGTTTTCTCTGGACTGGTGGTTATGGGTGGTGGTGGTTTGGATGTTATTTTATTTTTATTCATGGCTATAATAAATTCCGCTGCATCACTATCATCATCCAAATCGGCCGATAAATCATCAGTAACTCCACTTAGACTCCAATTGAAACCGCATGGTGGTGCCATTTTCTTGGTGGATGACCCCTTGCGACCCCCTCCGCTACCACTACGATAGCCCGAGGAGGCTGTAGAGGAATTCGAAGAGGTGGTACTAAAACCCAAGGTACTATTGGCCCTTTCAAAAAGTAGTGTGGTTACCTTAACGGAGGTGGAGCTGCTGCGTGGTGAACCTCCACCACCACTACCACCGCTGTTACGGCTGGAGGAGCCTTTAAAAAGGCTCGTCGTGGACTTTTTGAGATTAATGTTGCTGGAATTTTTTAAATCCTTGCTGTGACTAGTTGCTCCAATAAGGCTGCTTAGGCTACCAGATGTCGAAGAGCAGGAGGATCTCTTCTTATCCCCTTCGTCTGTATTATCTTCGTCGTCGTCTTCAATGACCAGTGGTACATAAAATGTGGAACGTCTTCTTTGGGATTTTTCTTCTTTATCCGCCGAGGCTGAGGACGAGGAGGTGACAGTAGCTGGCGAGGATGTTGTAGATGTGTGTAGAGTAGTTAGAGAAGTATTAGAGCGATTTAAAGATGTCGTATTTTCCAGGGACTGCAACATTGTATTTTGTTGGAAAAACTTTTAAAAATATCGAATCCTTTTTCAAAAGGATTTGAACGGCGAGGGAGGGGGATTTTAACAAAATAAAGTTTTGGGGGAATTCACCAGCATGGTTGACATTTTTCCGAACAATTTTTTTTCAATGCACAAAAAGACACTCAAAAATCACTTTTTATTTTTGGGAAAGGGGTTTTGAATTTTTTTTTTTTTTTTTTGAAAATCCAAATATTATTTTTTAAAATATTAAATTTTTTTGTAATTCAATTTTTTTAATTAAAATTTTTCGTAATTAATTTTTTTGTATTTCAATTTTTTTTTTAATTTTTTTATTACTTTAATTGAGAATTTTATTTATTTTTTAAGTTTAATTTCTACTTTTAATGTATTTTTCAATTTCAATTCCCCGTTTCTTTAATATGGCAACTCTCTCGGTTTCACACTATTGTTTATTTTCCTCCTTTTGATATTTAAATACAAAACACCTTTTGTTTCAAATCTTTGTATTTATTTTCATTTTGGGGGGTTATGGTTTTGGATATCAAATTTCAAGATCTCTTGTTTTCCAGCTGGCATTTATTTTTTTTGCACTTTACACATTTTTTCTCGCATGGAGCCTTAATGTCCCCAAAAAACTTGTTTCACAACTTCAGAACACACACAAGCAAGATAAAACAAGAAGTTATGCGGTGCATCTTTTACTTTTCGGGTTTACACAAACAACAAAAACGAGAAGGTTTTGTTTTGGTATTTTTCTTTTTTCAAAAATTTTTTATAACAATTTTTTATAATATTTTTTGTTTATATATTTTTTATTTTCTTTTTAATAAAAAAAATATTTTTTATATAAAATATTATCTCTCTTTTCATTAAATATTTAACATTTAAATATATTTTCTTATAATAAAACAATAAAAAAGAAAATATAAAAAATAAACTGTCGTCACACGCGTTTTCCGTTCTATTCAAATATTAACCGTCTCTCATTCTCGCACTCAACTTCTCAACTGACAAAACAATCGGCATTGCGCCATCACTTCACTCAACTTTACGATAGATAAACAACTATATGCCAAACAAAGCAGAACAAAAATATGCACAAGCATGCCAGATAAACTGAGTTAACTGGACATTTTGGAGCGAGAGAGAGGGAGTGAACGGGAGAAATCCGAAATGTAAATGAGAGAGTGCTTGCTAAGAGAGGGAGTTATTCTGTTGTGTTGTTTTTTGTTCAAATAGAAGATCATGTCTTTGAGTGTTTTGCATTTAAATAAGTTGCCACATTGAATGGGAATTGCCCGCCGTGGTAGTTGAATGAATAATAGGGAAAATGGGAATTTTTTTAAGGTAAATAGAAATCTAAATGATTATGACTTATTGCGTATAATGTGGATTATTTAAAGAAAAAATAATACGGATAAAACTGCATCTATATTTGAACCTTTGACATATATGCAATGAAATGGACAATTAAAATCCATTGGATCTAAAACTCCAGTTCAATGTAAATGTACTAAAGATAATAATTAAAATTTTTAGTTTATTAAGCTGGAGGAGAATATCGACACATATGTGAGGAGAAATATATATAAGCCCGGGTAAAGCTGTTGTATGCTCGAATAAAATTATTTACATAAAAATATGTAGACCGATGATTTATCAAATACGGGGTTAATTTGAACCGAAATAAATTAGCCTCGCAGATAGTCCTTAGAATAGTTATGCCTTCACGTTAATATTTCCGGAGGTATGGCTTCAAAATGTTCAGAAAATGTCATTTGTATGTAAAAACCAGTGAGCGGAGCAGTATAGTCGGACGTGGTCGGCCATACGATAAGCTTTCGGTCCATTTCATCCCAAATTTTTAATCAGATCATCATCGAAAATTATAGGCGTTGTCTTTGACCATAATTCGAACTTCATTTAAAGGGATCATTTTGATAGTCAACCATTCGTCTTGGATACACTATCAACTTCGCGGGTCTATATGCTTCACGAGTAAATATTACACCATAGAATACAAATTTTGTCATTTTTCACACAAAAGTCAGGTTCCAGTTGACCCGGTAAATAATGACCGATTTTTATCAAAGCAGGCATGCATATTCTCTGGCCCAATCCTCTTCTCCATGTAAAACTTCGCGATGTTCGGGTCATTTTTGCGGCCTCATATCATCCCCTAAATATTAACCGATCTTTTCCAAAAACAATTCATTGGCCAAAACCCTTCCTACATGCAAAATTTCGTGAAGAGTGGTCCATAACTGTGGTCTGTATCGTGTTTACAAATTAAAATGGACAGACGGACGGACACACATGTCTAGATCGACTCAGCTAGTCTATATAAGACGATCGGTATACTTAATGGTGGGTCTAGGACCAATATTTGTTGAGGTTGTTGAAATCGCTTAAAGCGATCATATAACGACTATGGCATAAAGCGATCAGTTTCCATGGTCCCTTGACCTTCCTCAAATATGATTTTGACTGTTATTTGTATCTTAAAGAAGTTTGTTGTTGTTCGTGTGAGCCGATTTTTACATATATCCATGAAATATAGAGGAACTATCCATATCATTGTAATGAGAACGTCGAAACTTTTTCTGTAAATATTTGAATAGGAATGGCCTGGAATAGCCATTGTTTTTTTTTTTCAATATTTAGACTTTTCACGATACATGCGGGGAATTCCATTGCGCTCACTGTTGTTTGTAGATATCCAACGATTAAACCTGATATAAACATCAGATCGATCGGAATCCAGAATTTGTATTTAATTTTTCAGTGTAATTTTGTAGATATTTGAAATATTAAATTAATGGGAGAGTTTAAATCATTTAAGGAGCCAATTTTGAATAAATTGATAAGAGAGTCTCCCAAAGTGGAACTAGCAGTAAATGACGATAAAACCATGCTGATGGTATCAACGTGAAAGATGTCCAGTAGATTCGGACCAACTGTGGAGCTTGAAAACTACAACATTAGTCGAGTTAGTGAAAAATGTTATATAATTAGGTATCGGCATAAATAAAACTAATGACATCAGTTGTGAAATTCGGAGAAGGATTGAAATGGCCAACAGATGCTACTATGGTCTAAGAAAGCAGTTTTGAAACAAAGCCACCTCCCGCCAGACCAAGCACACACTCTACAAGACGCTGATACTACCCGTCCTGTTATATGGATCTGAAGCATGGGAACTTGCGCAAGCAGATGAGGCGATCTGCGTCGACGGTGAATATCGCCGGCGAATGAAGCATGAGTTGTACCATATATTCGCGGACGTACCGAGTAGCAGCGACTACGTTAGATAGGTCATGTTGTGAGAATGGATGAGGATGCCCCAGCACAAAAGGTACATAAAAGCGAATCAACTAATGGTTCACGCAGAAATGGAAGACCACGAATCCAATGGAAGGATCAAGTGGAACACACAATTTGGCGTTCTTTCCCTTAGGCATACCTATAGATTCGCGCTATATCTTTTTTAATCCACTCATCGTTGATTTTTTAAAATGTGTTTATTTAACAATAAGAACACATTTAAGTGAAAATACATTTTTATCGGTTAAACATGTTATGAAAATTATATTGTCCTGTAAGCCTGCTCGTTATGGTCATTTGAAACCACAAAGAGTTTTGCACATACATTGTTACTACTATTTGAATGTTTGTTATCGAATATTAGAGATATCGGTCCACGTTTTGCTATAACCTTAATATTACGGTATCCCAAATATTCTGTACTTTGGAAAAGTTTTTTTTTAACGAAATTGGCTGTAATTTCATATTTTGGGATTTCATTGTCTTAATTCCAATCTCACCAAATATAATCCATACCGGTCTATGCTTTGGTATAGCTCTATATAACGGCACCTCCGGAATTTTAGAGAGTTTGGACAAGTTTTCAAACAAATTCCTTATACACCTAAGTCTGTTTTTACACGATCTTTTTGTGCACGGTTTTGATATAACACGGTTTGAAACTTGAATATTTTTAATTTTTTACACGATTTTATTCCATTTAGCATTTAGTATTTTCGATTGTCCCTTTGAAAGAGTGATCAATATTAGTGCGCATTATACGCTATTCAATAGAATTATCGACATTTTCTAGATTTTCATTGGGTATCAAGCCCTTCATATAAAATTTTCGATCGATTTTTGGTATTTTGGTGGCTCATCTAAATAATAAACTTTTAAAAATCTGATGATTCCCATATGTGGTCAATCTTAGGTCATTATCCTGCAGAGACAAGTTTTTCTAAAGCTTTTAATTAATTATATAATGAATCATTGATTTTCACCCCAAAAAATATTCAGTCAATTCCCTGAACTAAAGAAGTCGATGTATGACTCATACAAAATATATGGCAACAACAAAAACCTTTTTTTTGGTGCAATCAAAACGGTATAACACCAACAAGATGAGATTAAAAAAAAGGTAAACAATGATCAACAAACGACATCTTGTAGTTTTGTCATGATCTGGCAATATCAATGTGAGTGAGAGAGAGAGCAAACGGCAGAGAGTGGAAGAACTTCGAGAAGTAAACAACTCAACTGCCACTCAATTGAGTAACTCACATTTTATCTCCAAAATAAATATTTTTTCTTGTTGTACACAATTTATCTTATACTCTCTCACTCTCTGGCTGGAGCTCTCTCTCCAGTTGCTATTGTTGTTGTTATTGTATTGTGGTGCAGTCAGCATTGTAGAGTTGTGGTTTCAAAAAATAACAAACTGGGATGTTGGGTTTTATTTCTGTTGGTCATATGGGGGATAAATAAGGGATATTTTTGCACACAGTGGAAAAATAAGACAGATTTCAGAATGATGTATGAATTTGAACGGAATTTTATGGGGAAAGACGGAATTCAAATAATTATGTGTGTGTAGGGGGATGGAAGTGTGGTAATAAAATGGGGGATATATTTGTTGTAAATGTGACAATTTTGAAGTTGGGAATTTTATTAAAAGGACAATATCTTTTATGGGTTTC